TTAAATTATTTATATGTATGTATTTATTTAAAAATAATTTAAATAAAATATAATTTTCTAATTGGTGATGACTAAAGTTACTTTAGGATTTTTAAATTTCAGGACGCTATCAGAATCACATTATTCCTCTTCCCTCTCATGTTCCCACATTTATATATATAGAGTATAGATCTACTTATTTTTAATCTACTCTTCCACCAAGTAATGGACAATTATCCCTGTAAGTTTTAAAATACTAATACTACTATTGCTTTAAAGTATTAATTTAAAGTATTAATGTTACACTTATTTTTAATAAATCTTTAGAATTTCTATATATTTAATTTGTATACTCTTTTTTAATAAATGTGGAAAATTAAATTACTCTTAGGTATTTACTCTTCGTTTAAAGAAAAAGAGATAAAGGAAGTTATTTGTTGCTGCGGTACTTCTAAAGCTCGAAGACTAGATGGGTTCAGTATGGAGTTTTATAAGTCATGTTGGGAAACAATAAAAGGGGACAGAGTTAGATTTTCCAAGATTTTTACAATCATAGTAAGTTTTCTAAAGGAATAAACTCCAGTTTTCAGTTTTATTACTTTAATCCCGAAATCTTCGTCGCCACAAGGGTTGAATGACTATAGACCAATTTCTTTGATTGGGAGTGTGTATAAACTGGTATCTAATTTACTCTCTTTGAGATTGAGGGGAGTTATGCAGTCAATTATGGGGGGAAACTAAACGGCTTTTGTTGGAGGGTATCAAATATCAGATGGCATTCTGATTTGCAATGAGTTAATAAATGCTTTGAAGAAAAGGAAACATAAGGCGATTCTCTTTTAAGGCTGACTTTCAGAAAGCCTATGACTTGGTTAATTGAAACTTTCTCTTTCTTATGATGTCTAACATGGTTTTGGGTAAAAAATGGCAAAGATGGATTAAGGAATGTTTACAGACTTCTTATCAGTGTGGATTAAGGAATGTTTACAGACTTCTTATCAGTGCTAGTAAATGGGTGTCCTACCAAAGAATTTTAGATGTCCAAAGGGTTAAAATGTGGAGATCCTCTATCTCCTTTTCTTTTTCTCATAGTGGCTGAAGGTCTAAACATCCTGTTGAGAAATGCAGTGGCTGCTGGTCTAATATCAGGGGATTAAGGTGGGGGAGGGTGAAGTTATAGTATCTCATCCACAATTTGCGGATGATTCGGTTATACTTAATGACGCTGAGGAAGAGCAAACTTGCAATTTAAGAAGAATTTTAGTGTGTTTTTAGTTTCTGTCGGGTCTTCGTTCAGTAAAAGTATACTATTTGGGGTAAATCTTTCTAAGGAAGAGTTGATTAATTTTTCTTCAATATTAGAATGTGTGCCAAACAAATTTCCCTCTTTGTATCTTGGCATTCCCATTAGCAGCAGTCCAAGAAAGATTGTTACATGGTCTGTGGTGATTCAGAAATTTGAAAAAAAGGTTATCTTTGTAGAAGGCTAGAAACTTCTCCTTTGAGGGTAAGATTGCATTGATCAAGTCTGTTTTAGCTTTTTTGCCTCTTTACTACATGTCTGTTTTTAAAGCTCCTTCAGCGGTAATCAAGAAAATAGAGACAATTCAGAAGAGGTTCTTGTGGGGTAAAGGGATGGATAATAAAAGACCGGTAAACTGGATTGCGTTGAAAACCATCTGTAGGAATAAAGAAATTGGGGGCTATCGTGTCCCTAATTTTAGATAGAAAAACATAGTTCTTTTAGGTAGGTGGTGGTGGTGGAGGAGGTTTACGGCTGACAGTGGCTTTCTTTAGAAAAAAAATTCTAATCTCAAAATATAGTGATGAGGGTATATTGAACGTTGACATGGATAATGAGTTTTGGAAAAATTTATCTCCTATGTGGAAAGATATTGTGGAGGTAAGGGTTTCTTCCCCCCTTTTCTAAAGGGGGTTTTAGATGGATGTTAGGAGATGGATATTTGATTAAGTTTTGGATAGACTTATGGGTTGAAGATGTGGCGTTGTCTTCTTTGTTTCCCAGGTTGTTGGAGCCGATGTTCCTTTTCGAAGGGCAGAGTCAAAGTATAGTGTCGAACAAGTATGTGTAACTATTGAGTTATATGGTGGTGCACTAAATGGAGTCAATTATAGTGATCCTACTATTATGAAAAATATGCTAAACGTGCTAAATTGGGTGAAAATTTTTGAATTAGATAATGCTACTTTGAAATCTGATGGTGTCTTTTGCGGCAGTCCAAGAGGTTGGTTTACTTTTGGATATGCTCAAGAGGTTGGTTTACTTTTGGATATGCTTCATTTGCTCTTCTTTTTCTTCAAACAGATTTGGCACGGTGCTCAAACTTTGTTCAGAGATGTTTTTTGTTGGTATTGATCCAGATTTAGATGCTCTAGATTAGTTAAAAATAAAAGAGCAAGGGTTTGTGAGTGTGGATATTTTTAAAATAGTAAATGAGTGTGGAGAGTAGAGTGGCTGCGTGAATTGAAGAGCTTTAAAGAAGAGTATTGAGAGCAACTTTTCAAGCGGTTTGTGTGATTTGCCCAATAATGAGGATAGATTAGACTGGTCTTTTTGTAAACAAGGTAAATTCTCAGTCAAGAATTTGTCATGTTTATTGAAAGAGGCTGAGTTGGAGGTGGATAGAGTTCCTTATAATCTAAAATTGCTGTGATCACGTGGTGATACTAATTAATTCCAACAAAAGTTTCCTTTTTTTATTTGGAGTGCTTAATGATTAATAGAATCCCATGTAGAAGTATCTCCTCAGCCGGCTTATTTTATTCAATTTTTCTCTAGACTGTTGTTGCCTCTTTGGCGCAGCTATGATTAATAGAATCCCATGTAGAAGTAATCTCCTCAGCCGGCTTATTTTATCAATTTCTCTAGACTGTTGTTGCCCTCTTTGCGCTTCTGAGATTAAGTCTGCTATTCATCTCATTCTGCTGTTTCCTTTTGCTAGAAAGATTTGGGAGGGTTTATTGAGATGGTGAAATGTGAACTGGGCATTGCCTAGTTCCTTGATAGACTTGAGTTGACAATGGCAAAGTATCTTGAAAATAAAAGGTACATCTCTTCCCTGGAATTCATTAATGGGTGTTGCTTCTGTGGTCGTTATGGTTGGAAGAAATAAAGTGATTTTCAATAGTGAAATTAAGAGGACGGAAAAGTGGTGGATTTAATTAAAGTTAGAAGTTTTGAATTATTAAAAGCTAAAGATGAGATTGGATCCTTTAATCTCGGTGATTGGTTTGCTTTTCCCATAGAGGTCTATAAGTCAGGTCGTGCAGTTGGCAAAAAGTCGTCGGTTTCTATTAAGGAGGCTTTTTGGATTAATCCAGCAGTAGGTTGGATGAAGTTCAACATTGATGGTTCTTCTCTTGGAAAGTTGGGCCCTGCAAGTGTTGATGGTGTTTTGAGAGATAGTTCAGGTTATGTGAAATTCATTTTTTTTTCATGCAGTTGGGATTATTTAATCTAGTGAAGCTGAAATTCTCACTAATTTTGCAGCCATCGAGTTATATTTAGAGTTATATTTAGAATCGCTTTCAAGCTTTGTCCATTGATTGTGGAATCTGATTTCAAAAATGTGTTATGTTGGATTTTACAAAAGCATAATAGACCTTGGAGATTGTGGGAAAAATTTAATAGTTTTGATTATATTGTGAATCAACTTAAGAAGGTTCAGTTTGTTTTCGTCCATAGGAATGGGAATTACTTTGTTGACAGTCTAGTGAAAAAAGAAGTGACTGCTACGTCTCCGTTCCTAGCGAGGATTTAATTTTTTTGTTCTTGCTGTAATTGTGATTGTGTGAACCGTATTGATGTTTTTGTTCTCTAGTCTTGTTTCTAAGTTTGAGTTTGCTGCCTTCTTGTGTGTTTTTGTCACTGTCATTAGACTTCTCTTACCTTAAGAGAAGCTTCCATAGTTTTTGTTGTTGGCCTTTGGATTTTCTTGTCAATCTGAGTTAGGGTGGGTGTAATGGGATACCCTATTGGCTAGGGATTAGTTCTTACATTGGTAAGTTTAATTTTCCTTTTCAATCCTTTAATACTAATTTTATTATTGCTGATAAAAAAAACATTTAAGGTACCTAAAAATAATTTTTACAAGTTAAAAATTAAAAACAATTAATCAAATCAAAAGCTCTTTGTTGTTATATTGCTAGTCATGGATTTTTTTTTTCTAAAGATATTATACATAAGCAGACTATATTGTTATGTAAAAGATTATACATAACAATATTTGTTGCAATATAAGCAGACTACAGAGTCATACAATTATAAATTACTGCTATAAGCTCGTTGTAAAATTCATGCTAAAACCTTGTTTGAAAAATTACTGCTACAACCTCATTGAAAAATATTACTAAGTATTAGTAACCGAAATTATTATTTTGTAATCTGACAATTTTACATAACTTGAATTTCTTAAAGGCATTCTAGAAAATTCTTAAAAGAAAATATCCCAGTAAATTACAAGTCTAAAGACATGGAAAAAGGAACGCTTACATTTTTAAGGGCAACTTCTTTTATTAATTGCGTCTTCTTCCTCGTCTTCCTTTCTGTCTTGTTATCCATTTTTCTGGCCCTTTCTCAACTACTCTCACAAGCCATTTTGGTTTTCTTATGGAAAACACAATATATCCTACAGACAACCCAAACACCAACCCACATCCAAAACACCCAAACACCCAACCCACATTCCAAAACCAATCATAGCAAATTCCACCATCAATATGCTTGGAGAAATCATCATCAACTCATCATACAATTAGATTATTGATGGAACTTAACATCTTTCTGGCATTTTTCAGATAATTGGAATCCACACGAAACCCCAAATTCCAATATATGAATCATACCAAATGTACCAAATTGGTTTTCCTTGGGTGGAAATGGGCCCTTACAAGCTGGTTATATGACAGGTTCACTTTGCAAGAAAATTCCAAGTATTCTGTTAAATTGTTAGGAAATGGCTAGCCAATAGCTGGTTTGACTGATAGATCTCAACATGACTTCAAGGTTCCTTCAATTCCCTAGTGATGATGGGATTAAGTTCCATCAAATTCCCTAGTGATGATGGGATTTGACCTGTAAGGCTGTATGTGAAAAATTAAGCACTACAAGCGAACTAAGATTCCCAATTACATCCACAACTGCTCCACCAAAACGATTGCTTGACAAGTCTATTGCTGTAAAAATAGTTAGGATTCTTTCAATTGGAAGATCTATCCCTTTCAATGTCACAACTACTGAATCCTAATAATAAATTTCTCCCATGTAGTTGGCTTTCTTATTAACTTTATCCGCTTTCTTCATAGATTACAAACTTGAGAAATATTTTGTTGGCAAATGACTAGAGAACTCATTGTATGAGATGTCAATGATTCTCAACTTAGGAAAAGGTGATATGTTCCCTTCAGGATAACCTATCAAGCCATGGAATCTGTTTGGTCGCAAAACAAAAACTTGCAGGTCTGGGAAAGTTGCTAGCCACTCAGGGAAACTTGCAGATCAAGAACTTGCAGCATTTTGCAGTTTGCTAAATTTCGGGGTAACTGTCCTTCCAACTAATTACCATTCAAGTTAAGATTTCGAAGCTTATTTCCCTCTGCAAATGTTCCCGGAATGGAGCCTTTGAAATTGTTCATCCCGAAATTCAACACAAACAATTCACTACTGAAGTTTCCCAAGCACTGTGGAATCATGCCACTCAAGCTATTATTGGACAAGTCAATAATTTGAAAGGTTGTGATATTGCAAAGTGAAGGTGAGATTTCCCCTGTCAGTTTATTATTTGAAACTAACAGGATGTACATTGAAGGAGGTAGAAGAGGAAGAGGTTGTTGAAGTAATTAAAATTGAGGCCAAGAAATTGTAAATTGCTTGGGAGTTACCTTACTTTTGTCAATAAGTTGTGAGATAGGTTTAGATATAGTAAGTATTGCATTCCCTTACCTGAAACCCATTTTGGAAGTTCGCCTTGAATCCAATTATTAGAAAGAAACAAATTTCCCAATTGATTTTGAGTCTTTAAGAATTCTGGGAACTCACTTATATTGCAAGAAGACAATGCAAGTCTGTAAAACCGAGGCAACATACTTGAGTTGCTGCTGTTATTAATACTGCTAGTGATGACAGAAAAATGGTTGTTCGAAAGATCAAGACCCCATAGATTTTTCAGCTTGGAGAACATATTCAAGTTCACCACGCCACTTAAGTTATTTGACGGAAGATGAAGATTGGTAAGGTTCGTCAGTTCAAAGACTGATGGATGGATCGGACCATATATCTTGATTGGATCGGACCATATATCTTATTGCTCTCCAAGACTATTTCTAGCTAAAGATTTCGCATCGGAAATTCAACCACGTTGATTAAAACTAAGGGAGAACCACACCAGTGATGGAAGACCATAAACACAAGATGGGATTATGCCACTAAGCAAGTTATAAGACAAGTCCAGCTTAATTAGCTTGGAAAATCCACACAATTGATTAGATATACTACCCTCCAGATTATTTTGCGACAAATCCAACCAGTAAAGTTTAGTGAGATTAAAGATAGACGATGGCAACATACCACTGAAGTTACTATTTGAAACAGACAGATGGTTGATGTCCTTAAGCTTTTCAAAAACATCCGGAATTTTCCCTGTCCAGTTGTTGTTTGAAAGATCCAGCTTCATGAGTTGCTGGAGGCTGCCAATAGAAGCTGGAATTGACCCTGTGAAATGACAGCCACTGAGCTCTAACACCAATAAAGAGCTAAGATTGCCAATTGAATCAGGCAATTCTCCAGAGAAACTCGTGGAGCTGAGGGCCAATGATTCCAGGGGACTAGTCCAATTTGACTTCGGTAAATGACCATACACATCATTATTTAACATTAGATTTAGAAACTGAAGGTTTGGTAGGCGAAAAATGGATTCCGGGAATTCTCCTTGCAATTTACACAAAACAAGACTGAGAGATGTTAAAGAGGAAGAAAGATTTGTCAACGAACTAAGGGCAACAGAGGACATGTCTATATAATCAAGAAAAACTTCTCTTACTTGAGTTAGATTTTCAAGAATCATTTTCATGGTTGTTTTCATGGTTTGGTGTTTCAAGTGTCAAGGGTTCATTTTCGGAGGACAAATCTAGTGAAACCAAATTGGACAAGTGAGAAATTTGAAATGGAACAGGACCAGAAAACCAAGTACTAGAAAGATTTAGAAAAGTCAATTTCTTAAAGCTACCAAATTCAGGTGGAATACTAGAAATCATTGAAAGCAAGGTTTAAGCTTTGGAGGTTTGAAAGACTAAAGAGGCTGCTGTTAGATGTTAAATCGCCATTAAGACCACTGCAACTAAGGTCAAGGCCAATCACATAACCTGTGACATTATCACAAGTAACTCCATCCCAAAAGCAACAATCTGATCTCACTTCCCAAGAACCCATTTTTGGACGAGGAGGTTTGCAGTCTATTGAAGCGGAGGCATCATAGTAAAATTCTTGTTTAAGTTGGAGAAGAGCAGTGCTTTCATCTTTAAGGCATGATTGGGCAGAATAGGAAGAAATTGGTGAAGATAATACTAATTGACAATGGAAATTCAATAGGATCAAGAAGATGATTTGATTTTTCCAATATGACGAATTCATCATTATTAATTTCTTATGAAAAGCTAGAGATTTGCGAAGATTTATTAAACAACCTTATATATATATATAATTTATTAAACAACCTTATATATATATATAGGTATGGCAGCTAATAATCTGGTAGAGACTATCATGAGCTAACTAGTGGTGTGCATTAAATATTTCAAACCGTTAAATGGATTTTCTTTTAAATGGTTTGGTTTGGTTTGATTTAAAATTTAGCAAATTTTAAAATAGTGTCATTTGATTTTTATTTAATGAAACCATTTATTTAAAAAATTATCAAAAGTTGCAACAATTTCTAATTTCTTAGATAGGAATATGTGATTGTTTTATAATGATTTCTGGGCAAGTTGATTTTTAATAAATAAAAATTTTTTTCTATTAATTATTTAATGAATATTTTCATTTATTAATTATTTAATGAATATTTTCAATGAATCAACTATAAATGAAAGAAATTTATCCTTTCTTCGTTTCTACTAAATCTGTCATTATATTTATTGACTGATGTCAAAGTATTTTTTATGACAGTAAACCATAGACGAAACCGTATCAAACTGTTCTATTATAGTTTGATTTGTTCTGGTTTTATTGGCTAAATAATTTGATTTGATTTGATTTGTTATGAAAAGTTTTCAAATCGTAACTCATAATCCAGTTTGAACATTTTTCCAAACAGTACCAAACAAAACCGTGCTCAGCCCTAGACTTAAGCCTATGCATAGCAATATAGTCTTAACCAATTGGGACTCGTCAAAGTCAATTACAATAAAGAATTTTGGAAGAATAATGCATTTATTCTTCTGGGTGCTAAGTTTTCAACACATCAATATTAGTTTAAAAGCTTAAAATATTTTATATCCCAAGAACAAAGCAAAGAAGTATAAGCACCTCTTGGCATGGGACAAAATAGAGTGGAAAGAATCTCACAATATCTTTAAATTATATAGACTCAGCTTTCAATGGAAAACGCAGAGAAATGGAAGTTTTGACTCTTAAATTTGGCGGAGAATGAAGAAGCAATCCCAACTTAAAAGTAAGAGGGAAGGGCAAAATTGAAATATTTAGAATGAAGAAGCAATCCCAACTTAAAAGTAAGAGGGAAGGGCAAAATTGAAATATTTTGTTCCTATAACAGATAAGTTGTGACTTGTATTTTAAAAATCAATTTAAGAATGCCTAACTTTTGAATACATCAAACTAAATAACTGTTATCGAGAAATTTGATGGTTTTCCTATTAGTCAATTAAAGAAAAGTACAATAAATTACTTTTTATTTCCATTTTACCCTCTTGTTTAATGTGAGAAAATTTATATATCTATATAATCCTGAAGTAAAAAAACTATTTTTTTTTTTTTTACAAATTTTCTACATTTTTACTGTATTTCTTTCATTTATTTTTCAGTTCTACAATTTACAAACTATTTATTACAAATTATGAATTGATATATAGATAACTATAATTTTGAAAATCATATTTTGTTATTTTGTTCTAACTATTTATATGTTAAATAAATATATAAATAGGGATCTCTATTCTCTAATCTCTCATCTTTTATCGAAACTCTTTCATCTGAAGTTAAAGGTCTCCCCTCTCTTGAATAATTTTCAATATTATATTTAGTGTTGATTAAACATATCTTTCTTACCGTGGTTTTTGTGCTTCTTTTGTTTTTTGCTAATTAATGTTGATCGCGTAGTAGTAAAGAAAGAAGAAGCGGATAATTTCACTTGGCTAGCCAGCCAAATGTTTCCTTTGAAAAATAATTATTAAGGTTTTTTTTTTCTTTTTTTTTTTTCTTAAACATTGTTGGTATTGCTATGCCAATCCAAAATATAGGGGTACGAAACTGTGGTAAGTTTTTTCTTAAACATGGTTGGTATTGCTATGCCAATCCAAAATCTAGGGGTACGAAACTGTGGTAAGAGAGCGAGGAGTACAATTATCGGGGACAGAAGCAAGAGTAACCATAGCTCATGCCATAATGAAGAGTCCAAAGATATTACTGATAGATAAAACTACAAGTACATTAGATACAAAATCTGAGAGAATGGTAAAAAATAGATGTAGTTTCAATTTAGAAAAATAGATCAACTAAATATATTTCAGTGCTATTCTACTATAGACTACATTTATTGGCATGCAAATTGAACCTGGACTTTTTAATTGAGAAATATTTTGTCATTAATATTTGTTCTACTTCTGTTTATATTTGAAATTTTTATTTTTTATTGAAAAATTTATTTTATTGACTTGACCTTATATTTTTATAGTAAAAATAAAGTTCCATTAATAAACTAAATTTAAGAAGTTACCTAAACATTAAAAACTATTTTTTATATCTATATAATCTATATAATAATATATAAAAGCAGAGCAATTTGCATTATATGGAAGCCAAGTATAAGCCTTTAAAATTGCCAAGTGTGAGGAGGACCAGTGAAGGACGCAGTAGGGACCACCAAAGTTTTGATTAAATTATCAAATATTAAAACCAAAAATAGAAATGAATAGGACCAACAATTAACTTTTTTGACCAATAATTAAATTAATCACAAAAATGTTTTTCTTACAAAATCAATCAAACTTAGATTTTACGTTTTCTACAGTAGGGACCAGAGATCAAAATATATACTTTCATAGCTTTCATTTTTGGTATTCTTTCTTTCAATTTTTTATATTTTTAACATTTTTCCACTCAATTATATTTTAAACTGTTTTTTAATTTTTTTTTGTTCCTCTATCATTACGACCCTAACAAGTAATATATAACTTAATTTCTTATTTCATAAGATACTAACGTAAATTTTAAAAAATATATATACTATATCATTTTTTTTATTGTAATAAGAAAAACTTTTTGGGTTTGATTAGCTTGGTGGTTTATAGAGTAATCTATATACCAGGAGTTAGGGATTGCATGGAAACTATCAGGGAACCACGAAATAGTTCCGGGAATATACGGGATACATAACAATTTTTTTATAAATAAGGTAAAACATCCACACGTCTTAAAACACACTACACTAAATTAAGTAATATATTAATTATTTAAATAAAGTAAACAATCATTTAATAATATAAGTCTATTAACATAAAATAAAAAACTTATACACAAATTAATAAATTAAAAAAGAATACTTTCCATTTTTCATTTGGGTAATAAAAAAACCTCAGTTTGATCAGCCTTGGTTGTATTTGGAGTAGTCTCATAAACAGGAGCTAGTTTTGCACGGACCACGGGACACAAATACTGGAATGCATGGATATTGACAATTTTTATAAAAGAGTAGGAACATTCCACGCAGACGCTTATGACACCACTACACTAAATAAGTATATATATTAATTATTTCAAAAATAAATAAAACAACATTTATATATAAATTATAAAACATAAATATTAAAAATTTTATTTTATTCAATACACAAAATAAATAAAAATATTTCCATTTTTATTGGTAATTAAAAAAACCTACGTTGATTAACTGACAGGCGCATAGGAACACATTACATTAAAAATTAGGTATAGCATTAATATTTCAAATAAATAAATCTATTTTATAATTTATAATTAATCATAAACATAAATAAAAAATACTTAATTTCTTATTTTTAATGGCATAAAAAATAATTTAAAAAATTTTCATTTTTTATTGGTAATAAAAATAAATTTTGGTTGATTAGCATGGTGTAAAATGGAGGTAGTACTCCATATAACCAAGAAGCTAGTGTTGCACACGGACCACAAGACACGAGAATACTTAAAACGTACGAGATATTTCGATAATTTTTAGAGATAAATGGTAGGATATCTATATTTTTTTTAAATATAAAGTAAGGACATCCCATACATCCATACGCTTAGGACACCCTACATTACATAAGTAATACATTAATATTTCAAATAAATAAATAATCATTTATAATAAATCATAAACATAAAATAAAATAAAAATACTTAATTTCTTATTTCAACGGCACAAAAATTTTTTTAAAAAAAAAAGCAATTCATTTTTTATTTGTAATAAAAAAACCTTGGCTGATTAGCTTGGTATATGGAGTAGTCTCATATATCAGGAGCTAGGTTGCATAGACATGGGACAAAAATACGGAAACATACGAGATACGATAATTTTTAAAAAAATAGGACATTCACACGCTTAGAACACACTACACTAAATAAGTAGTATATTAACATTTCAAATAAATAAACAATCATATATAATAAATTATAAACATAAAACTATTTAGTTTCTTATTTCAAGTCCTTATTTCCAATTGACATAAAAACCAAATTAAATAAAAACACTTTATTTTTATTCGAGGTACTTAGAAAAAATCTTGGTTGATTAGCCTTTTTGTGTATATGATTCAGTCTCATCATTTACTAAGAGCTAAGGTTGCACGTATACCCGGGATACGAGATATGAGAATATTATGGGATGATATATTTTTTAAAAAAATAGAAATAATCACTCCCTCCACCCGCGTTCTGCGCCACCGTATAGCACAAACACCTCATATAATAATTTTTAAAAAAGATAGAACATCCTCACGCTTAGAATAGATTACACAAATAAGTAATACATTAATATTTTAAATAAATAAACAATCATTCATAATAAATTTTAAACATAAAAAAATTTAATTTTCTATTCAATGACACAAAAATAAATATAAAAAACAGTTTATTTTTTATTAGTAATAAAAAAAAATCTTGGTCGATTAGCTTAATCCATAATAAAAAAACACTTTATTTTTTATTAATTTGTTTTTTTAATCATAGATATCTCACATAAATCCATAAATCTTCCATGACTTATAAATACATCTATGAACTATTAACCAATCTTTTCTATCTTAACAATGATCACTTATAAACTCTTGATCATTTTGGCTTAGAATTTATTCTCATATAAGCATAGTAAGATCAATACGAACCACAATTTTTACATATTCATGAAATCTCAAAGTATAGTAAGTCTGCTCTTATATATACTCTGACGCATTATTATTACTTCTATTTCCATCAAATCTGAATAACCATGATTCCTAATTTGTCAAAAACTCTAAATATTGACTATCATCTCATTTAAATCATACTAATTCCTATAAGAATTGCACTTTATCATCTCTTTAAATCATACTATTCATACTCCTCACCTTCTGATAACCTGATTGGGTGAATCTTTGGTGATACTATGCCCAAACATGTTGGCAATCAAAGGGCGATAATGCGGAGGGACAAAATACCTATTTTCGTGTCAGATCGCAGTAGCGACCCAGACACACGGTGTTGACGATTCACAATGGAACTTTGGAGAGCTTATCTGATAAGAATAGTTGGCCTACGTAACAGAGTTCTGGAGCAAATCTTCACCACATCCGGATGGACAGCACTCCTGTAAGCAAGATTTACCAATGGAAACATTCTAGAAGGCTACACCCCAAAACTCTGCGACTCTTATACCCAATTCGACCAACTAAATACCACTTACCCGAACTCCACTTAACGCCAGATCTCACCCAATACACGGACGCCGCTGACGATCACATGGAATTTGGAGCTACTGATATTGGCGATAACAGAGTTGGGGAGCAAATCTTCACCAATCCGGATGGAAGCATCCTTGTGAAGCACGATTCCAATGGAAAATTCTAGAGGGCTACCCCAAATTGGATATACCCAATTACAACTAATACTTCCGACTCCGATCCAGCAGTATCGTTTTGGCCAATCAAACTTGAGGGCAATGCTATTGCCCTCCGTAGCAAGGGCAATGACAGATTTTTGCGTAGAACTGATTATGGTGGCACGGAGAATTGTCTCGCTGCAGCTTCTTGGGCCACGACTATCACTAAAAAAAAAGCGTTTTTGCGATCGATATTTGAGACCGATTTGTGTTGATCGCAATTTTGCGATGATTTTGCGACCAATTGCGATGATTGTGATAGTGAATATCTTCCGACCGATTTGCGACCAAACTGCAACAGAATTTGCGACGGATTTGCGACCGATGCTTAATCCGTCGCTAATTGTAGCGCTAATAATTCTCGCCAGTTTGTTTTCCATTTTATGACATGTTTAAGACGCATTTGCGACCGATTTTGCGACCATACAGTTGTCCGTCACAAAATTGCGTGCTGCAATTTCAGCACCAAATTTCTGCGAAGGATTAGCGACCGATTTGCGACTGATTATTTGTGACCGACATTGGTGGTCGTAAATCGATCACAATTTTGCTCTACATTAAAACAACGTCGCAGAATTTATAATTGCGATCGATTTTTTATATAATTTGCGACCGATTGGTCGGTCGCAAAATTTAAGGCTTTAATACGCCAGCACCCTCCTTCTTCTTTCTTCTTCTTTCTTCTCCTCCTCTGTTCGCAGCGCCGTCCCAGCCGTGTGCAGCACCGTTCCCAACCGTTTGCCGCCTCCTTCTCCGCTCCATTGCAGCGCCGGTCGCCGGAGAGTGTTGTCTCCTTGTCGTTCGCAGTTGTCAGTTCAGGTACGTTTCTATTTTTTTTTTCGTTTTCTTTTTTTTTTTTTTTTTTTTTTTTTTGGGGACACTTCTATTTTTTTTGTCTTGTAGTTGAACATTGACAAAAAATAAAGTTGTGTATTTTAGTTGTTCTTTAGTTGTGATTTAAGTTGTTACTTTGCATGTGTGCGGTTACTTAAAATTGAATGATAAAAGGAAAATAAAAAAAAAAAGAAAATGCTGATATTGTATAATGATAATTTTGGAATTTTTTATATTTTAGCAAACTTATATATGAATTTTTAATTTCAATGTTTACGCACTCAATTTGTCAATTTTTATTCCTTAAATGCAATTTTATAAGGTAAAGTATTCAATTAAAATTTTGTTAGTTGTTCAAAAATAAGTTATATGCCATGAATTTTGATAATAATTAGGAATGTTTTTAGTTTCTAATAAGGGTCATCTGCCTACCAACTTATGTTATTAGAGAATACTATAAATTTCGCTCAGTCGACTGTTAATTCGTAACACGCGCGCATTAAGTTTATCAAAAGATCTAAATATATCCTGCCAAGTAATTATTAAGTTAATACTTAAGTATTATCTAAGTATTAAATCTAATTTCAACTCTGATTGAGAGTTTGAATTCATAGAATCTTTATAGTGACTTTTTGAGATTTAATTTACACTACCACTAAAAGTCATCATTGCCAAATTAGTTCCACAACCTTAATGAAAACCCAGAATTGATACACAAAAATTCTCCTGCACCATTAAACACCTCAATTTTTACATAGTTACACTTTAGACTATCATTTGAGGATTTACTGACTTGTATATTAATCATCGTTTAGGCCAAGGCCTTATTTTTTTTTTTTTTATCAATCAATTTCGTAACTTTCTTTTTTTTTTCCAACAATAATATTACATATATACAGTGATCAATCAATTTGTAACTTCTTTTTTTTTTCCCTAAAATATATATACATATATACAGTGAAAGTTTTGATCTAACATGACCATGGCAGGTACATATGTGTAATAAGCTTGCTAGTCGGCACGTGCGAGTAGGTCTGGCAAATCCCAGTGACGTTCCTTGCTGTGACATATGTGAAAATGCACCTGGTAATTAATAATTGTAATTAACCAACTTAATTAATTTAGAATTTGGATAAAAAGAATTACATTATATTTTCTTGGAAAATTGCAGCTTTCTTTTACTGTGAAGTAGATGGAAGTTCGCTTTGTTTGCAATGTGATGTGAGCGTTCATGTTGGAGGTAAAAGAACGCATAGAAGATTTCTTCTGCTAAGACAAAGAGTTGAGGTTTGTCTTTCGCCCTTTATCAAAATTTTTTTTTTTTAATTTAAATGAACATTAATGTTTAATAATAATTTTGATTTTGATTAGTTTCCATTTTGATTGTTGATTAGGTTTCCACGGATTTGATGAGGTACAGAGCTGTAGACATTTTGATTTTGATTAGTTTCCAGGTGATAGTACAGTAGCTGTAGACCCAAATTTGCAAGCAGTAGATGGAAGTGACGAGATCAAGAAAGAACAAAATCAGCACCAACAATCTAATATGAATCAGATGACAAAGGGAGAGAATCAACAAAATCCTGGAAATGCAAAGATAGACAATAAAATGATTGATTTGAATATGAAGCCCCTTCGATTTCATGAACAAGCTCCAAACGATCAGGTTAGCTATTTGTAATGATTAAACTAGTTTCTATTTATATTCTCAATTTTTTTATTTTGAATCAATGATTTTGCAAAATACACTCAATGAAAACTTCGATTCACACTTATTGTAAAGGTTTTTTTGGTATTATCATTGTTAAAGTACTTTATCTAAATATTGTCGTAATTCTCGAAACACATGAGTAAATATATATACTCACTCTGTCCTAAAGGATCGTTCTTTTGTTCATAAATATAAAATGTTTTGAGAATATCACGAGTAATTAATCAAGTTTTTCAATTTTAATTTTATTTATATTAAATGCAATACTTATTATAACTTAATAATATTAACAGTCGATACCTTGGTCACTCCTGCCGACACTAACTACGACACATCCTCAGCCAGATACTTCTGTCGACACTACGACAACTGGATCGTATACGAGGACCGACCTCGTAGAATTTAAGTTTCGGACAGATTTTAGCTTTCAGTGCATTTTTTTCATTATTTTGAATGAGTACTATTACATTTTACAATTCCATTTCTTACTATTGTTAGCTGTGTTTGATCTTGATGGTTTACATTTACAATTCCATTCTTACATTGTTACTGTGTTGATCTTGATGGTGATGCTTGTGGTTGTGATATATATATATATGTCGATTTTTGACAGTGGAAAAAATGTGATTTTTAATATTATTAATTTTTTTTTTTTGCCTGTAATTATATTTTGCGAACGACTAGCAACCGAACTGCAACCAAAGTATAACCGAGAATTTGCGACCGAGTTTGATAATTGCGACCGACACCTTTTGCGACTGATTTGCGACCGAGTTTGATAATTGCGACCGACACTTTTTGCAACTGATTTGCGACCAATTTGTCGGTCCCTGATTAGCGACCGATTTTGCGACCGATTAGTCAGTCGCTAATTTGCGACCGCTTAGTAATTTAGTCGCAAAATAATTTGCGACGAGCACTTTTGCGACCGATTAATGTCCGTCGCAAATCGGTCGCTAAATGGAATTAGTGATCGATTTCTCATAATTTGCAACCGATTTGTCAGTCACAATTTTGCTATTTTTTTGTAGTGTATTGACAGAGAGTCACCTGGTGCTAGAAGAGCTTGTCAAAGTGAGGCAAATTTACAACATGGAGTGCCTGCTGGACAACACCACAGTTTATGATGAATCAATCCTGACATTGGCTCGTTCCTGTGTCTCTAACATACACAACAAACCCAACAAATAGAGGTGAAAATGTCATACACAGAAGCTCTCAACATACACATAACAAATCCCAACCAAAGACATTGGCTCGTTCCTGTGTCTCTAACATACACAACAAACCCAACAAATAGAGGTGAAAATGTCATACACAGAAGCCTGGAAGTACGAATGGACTACTAGTACCTCAACCTCAGCTTCTATTAGTATGAAAGTCTCACTTGGGATTCCAAAGATTATGGATTCTTCCATTGAAGTGAACGAAAAATGGGAAAAGGAATACGAGTGGGGAACTACGATAGATGGATCACTCCAATTGACAAAAACAATCCCAGTTAGTGTGCCGCCAATGACAAAGACGACAGTTAGTCTTCTTGCAACACTTGGATCATGCAATGTTCCTTTCTCCTACACTCAACAAGACACCCTTACTGACGGCAATTTAGATGTTTCAGTCAACCATGATGGTGTTTATAGTGGCGTCAATTGCTTCAAATTCCGTACTGAAACCTCAGAGGAAAAGTTATACGCTTGCAGTTCCATTTACAAATCTGTGAATGCATGCACTTATCCCAAATAATTGTGTACGTAAGTCTGCTGGTGTGTTTTTATTTTGCTTTATTTTTTTCCTTTTACAGGAAAAAAAAAAAAAAATTGCACTGGGTTGAGTATAAGGTCTTGGGTTTGAGTCTCCTTCACCATAAGAATTTATTTTAATTTAGCGAGTTAAAGGGGAATACTCCTGTTGTATGTGATCAATAATATTATTTCAGCCTACGCAACATCCAATGAATAAAAAAACTAATAAATAAATAAAATTAATATTGTCAATTTGGTGTTAGATTTTACTAGAGAGATTGCATATATCATCAAACAAATCTAATAAAGACATATAGGACAAACAAGGATATCGACAATTCACTTCATGTCACGACCCATTTCCGCTAGCCGGACCGGCACTAGGACCTCGGTGGACTTAAGGCCCCCGAAGCCCGTAGTAAGCCTAAATTATTTAAAACTCATATTCTATTGTGGATTCAGGCCCAATAACTTATTTCACATACGTATCCAAAATAGGCATTATTTAAAACTCATATTTCTTATTGTTGAGAGCCTAAATTATTTAAAACTCATATTCTATTGTGGATTCAGGCCCAATAACTTATTTCACATACGTATCCAAAATACAGTTCATATATTTAATATGGACTCTTATTATTCATTTACAACCCAACAGGAATACAATTGCGGAACTCTACCTTTACATGTATATTAACAGTCTTCTATAATTAATGTTTCAACTCCATAGGGGCATTTCTTCGTTTCTATTACCTAAAAAAAATAGTAGGCAAGGGTGAGCGCCAAACTCGATGAGTAGGGTTAGATAACCCTCTCACCCCACACAATCACACAAATGCTAAAATATTTTTATCTGGTCACTCTATTAGTTACATGATCATGCAGTTTGTTACACAAATGGCAACACAACAGCAATCACATTTATTATCACCTTCATATAATCACATCACGTGGAAATTAGTCAGTGGCGTCACCGAAACCCCTGATGAGCTGTCCTCCCACAAGGCCCATCCACTCACGTGTGCACCAGGGAGCCAATATACGCCATATTGCCACTCACGTGTGACACGCAGGAGTCCAGATCCGCCCATCACTTGGCTGACTCGTTATCCTCAACATTGACCAGGTCCTCTCATTGTTTTTTCATTTGTCCTCTTCTTTTCTTTTCCATTACCAACATGAGCGGCAACCCCGCGCGGTCCCTCACATGACCAGTCCTCTCATTGTTTTTTCATTCTCTCTTTTCTTTTCCATACCAACATGAGGCAACCCGGTGGTCTCCATCCAATCTAGATCATCCAGCGCACACAACAGGAGGCCACCCTGTTGGCTGCGATCAAATCTAGATTATCAGGTGCGCAACAATAAGAGGCCATCATGTGGTTTCTATACAGTTCATATCATCAGGTGCATACAGGGGCGCCAATCTCCCATTTACCCGGCTAACGGTCAAATTGCATCGTTCATCATGTTCAGGATCCATATCAAGAGAACAGTCTCACAAACCCATGGTGACCCACTTCATCCCAATTCTACACAAACAAGGCATAGCAATATCACAACACAAGTAATCAAACAATTTTTAATATCAACAAATAGTGCAATCATAATCATGCAAATTCAACAAACACTATCATGCATGATAACAATTAGTCACAGTGAATGCCATGTAATGCAAGGGATGACTGGAATTATCTAACACTACTCACAGTTCTTATTGTCCTTTTAACAGGCACTATCTTATTACCGCATCTTCCAGCCATTCTGGTCTTCACCTGTTCGGGACCTTTCCTTAACATGCCTAAGACCACATTACTTTCGGGACTTTATAAACATCTAAAATAAAATAATAAGAAAATTCTACATAAGAGGTCTAATTCGAGAAATGTATCTTACCCTAATTATTAGTTTTGGTAAGCATGGCCATATTACGGTTCCGGGAACCGGAACCCTCGGTTCGAACCGGCCCGGAACCGTAACCGGAACTGGTGAGAACCGGAACCGGGACTAACCGGAACCGAAACCGAAAAAATCCGGTTCGATTCCGGTTCCAGCAAATAAGGAACCAGAACCGGCGGTTCTAGAGAACCGGTCGGAACCGGACTGGAACCGCTGGTTCTCCGGCCGGTACCAGAACCGGCAGGTTCTAAGAGCTTCACCACGGTCCCGGGAACCGGACTGGAACCGCTTGGTTCTCCGGCCGTGTTTAGAGAACGTCCCGGTTTCGAAGACCGGCCCGGTCTCTGTACAGCCGTTTCGTTAACTGTCAGACCTGGTGCTTTTTTTTTTTTTAATATTTGTTGTAGACAATCGTCTTACATACCCCT